ATAATAACTAGATAGTTATAGTATCTTCTAGATTATGCATTAGCTTAATGGCTTAAGGCTATTCTCCTTCCTGCCTTACGTCGTGTATGCGACCCTAGTAGTTTAAGCCACTATCCTGTAAGCTTTGCTCAACTTAAGGTAAATTCGAAAGTAAGGCTAGAATAAAGTCATATATAGTCTCTTAGTGATCGTCGCGTTAATACCTATTGCGACGTCTTAAAATAGATCCTTCAGCCTTTATAGGATGCTATTGTGGAACTAGCTGAACATGTTACTTTTCCTGGGTTTAATATTCCTTAGAACGCCTTTAGTAAACCTATTCTTATCATATCTCGCCATAACCTAAAGCTATCCGAACTTAGTGGATATCTCACATTCCATTCATGCCATACAGCCTTGGAGAAATTTATCAATTCCTACTAGGATAGAGGTTTCCTGGATCCATCTCGCTTTTATTGGGACCTTGGGATCCAAATAGGTTCGAACCTTCCTAGCACAACTACACTGCGAAAATCTCGCTACTTATAGTAATGGACTTCCTTCTTTAACTATAGTAACACTATATTATGCTCTAAACTAAGATTTTACACCTTTACTAGGACTAATATAGGATCTACTGAGCTTAAGCTTCGCTATAGCAACCAGTTCTATTATGCTAGGATTAGACATGTTAAAGCCTATAATACTATTAAAGAGATTACTTATGCACCTATTCGTGGATATGGACTCTTTACAAACCCTTAACTAGAACTTCTTAGTGCCACCCAATAATTCCTAAATAAACTTAAGTTTAGTGACATAGGGCGTACTAAGCAAACTATTATCTATATTAAATAGATCCTTACTTAACTTGAGCTCTATAAAGCTAGGGTTCGTGTGATTACCTCACCTAAATCCTGCTAGGTATCCTACTTTGACCGCCAAGAACTTCGCCTCTAGTTGAGCCAATTGAGGACTGCATTAGTTACACTTAATATTAATAATATAGAATATATAGCTTAGTCTAGTACTAGTCTTTATTATACGTTCTGGATCTTACCCACCCATAAGGTTAATCACTTCCGTGCTACTAAATGCAATTGTTGGCTAGCAGCCTTGGAATCTATTACTGCTTTTACCTATCATCTCAACCCAAGCACTAAAGACTAGGAAATTAACTACATTACTACCACTACATTTGCTCACACTCTCCACTTTATGTTAAATTGCGAGGACTTGAGCAGTCTTCCCTCTCTTAGCTTAGGGAAAGAGTATCGTAGACCATATGTCTTTAAACCATAACAATAAACACTAGGTAGTACTATTTTACCAAAGAACCATAAAACGTTAAAACCTTAGTGACGCTAAGGCCTTGAATATGCTAATTCTATTAAGTAATTTGGCATTGTATGGATCCCCTTTCGCCTAGGTATCTGGAATAAAGTAATTCCAAAATTCCGCCTAAGTAAATATCCTCACCTAGATGTCTACTATTACGTTCTCTAGAAATCTAAGCGACACCTCTACCTCCACATAATGCACACTACTAAAGCATATTAGTTTGAGTTTATCTATTATCTAGTTAAATCTACTTTTACTATTAGTCAAGAAACTCCTACTATAAAGGTATGGTAAAAACTATTCTTCTTACTCGCTATATAGGTAGTAAGAGCATATAACCTCTTTGTCTTGGAGATTATTAGACAACGCTGGCTAGCCCATAGTAAAGCTAGGAATTGTAAATAACTGGATCTCTTCTTCTAATAAGTATAGATGAAGAACGCAGTAACTCGAGGAGCTATAATTCTATCTTTCTCTAGTATATCTAAGCTTATTCGAG